CTACGGTCGGAAAGCGTTTTATTGATTTACTCCATTCCATCTGTCTGTAATGGGGGGGTCACGATCATCATCGTCATCATTGTGAACATCTCCCTCTTAACTGAAACGATCGTGGGGGCGCCACGGATGCCTCGGTCGCGAGCTCTCTCCACTGCTACCTTTTCCTTTGCACAGCCCCCTTTAACCTCCGCAACGCTTGAAGGGACTCAGTCCGCGCCGATTTGCTGCCGAACCGAAATGTTTGCACGGTGACGTCCTCGTGACCGGGCCGAGACCGTCGCCAGCTTGCTAGCCACTCGAAGACGCGGTTTAATAACGCGGACGACCAAAGCCTGAATTCGAACCCAGGTGCTCAGCGGCCGCGGCTTGGGGCTCTTTGCCTTGGAGCCGCCCGGCCACCTCTGATGAGCGGTGACATTCATCGACGTCTTTGCCCGGTCTTCGCATCAATGCGTTTTTTTTCCTTTCTTCCTCTTCCCAGAAAGATTGGGCAAAGAAGCCACGCGCCCTCCCGTCCCGTTTGCCTGGCCCGGCCGTCCCGCCGGCTGGCCCCTGTTCTACGTCACTGCCGTCGCTGGGTTCGCTCGAAGACCCAGGAGGGGGCACTGCCACAGAGGGCGATGTTTCCTCCGCGGCCGCTCCTCGTGGCGGCAGCGGTGGCCGAGAAGAAGGCCGCGCGGGGCGCGACAAACCTGTCGGGCCGAGCCCGGCCACCGTGCCTTTCCAGAATGTCGCGGTGCGGTCCCAGAATGCACCTGGCCGTCGCAGCCGCCCGTTGGTACAGCCGAAGCTGGGAGCGCGGCGTGTGGGCTCTGCTCGGGCCACGCCGGTGGAGGCGGCGTCACCTGCCGCTCCGGAGGAGACAACCGCTGCGGAAAAATCCGTTTCGCCGAAACCGCCTGTGAAACTTGAGCCGAATTGCGCGGGAAAAAATAGGCATTCACGTTTGGGTTTTGAAGATTCGTCCTATGCAGGTGCGTGGAATTCGGCTTCTCGTTTCTATCGTCCCTTCTCCTTCCTGGAATTTTTGGCACTCACGTGGGGGTCTGCTGCTTTCCCGATCTGCTTCCTTCGAACGTTGAGTGGTGACCTGGTCCACCACTCTCTCCCGTCCTGGACCACCACTCTCTCCCGTCCTGGACCCCACCGCTCTTTCCTGACCTGGGCCATCATCTCCACATCTACCCCACAGTCCTTCACATCCCTTGTCCACCACTTCGAATCACTTCCAACCACCTTTTCATCCCAGGCCCACCCCTTGATCTCATCCCCGGTCCCCCACGACATCACGGCAGTCGTATTTATGTGCATTTGTCTGTATGTGGAACGTCTTTCGCGCACCGTACGTAGCCAACCATGCAAATCAGAATTGCGGGCGTGGGACAACAAACCCAAAAACGTATATTTTTACACGGATATTTTTTGGCCATTTTCACGTGTCCGGCAATTACAGGGAAGGGTGCGACAGGTTTCTTGAAATCCCCCTGCCCCCACCACCTCATCCCACCCAGCAGAACGCATTGGGCACAACCACCGTCAGTCGATGGTCAGGTGGCGTGCGGCAAAGTGTCAGTCGGGTGCTTCCAAGACATCCGGAAGAGGTTGGCTACGTACGGTGCAAAAGAAGTTCTAAATACGTACACACAAAGTTTTTACATCATTAACGCGCGACTTCAATGTTCGGTGCCCGAATCTTCCCAGAGAAATGGACGCCCTCGTCCGTATCCGGCGGCGGTGGCAGCGGTGACGGCGGTGGTGGCCGTGGCGTCCGTGGCAGCGGTGACGGCGGCGGTGGCCGTGGTGGCATCGGTGGCAGCGGTGACGGCGGTGGTGGCCGTGGCGTCCGTGGCAGCAGTGGGGAAGACTGGCCAGATGAGACGACGGAGCTTCAGGATTTGCCGCCGCTCAAGAAGGAGGAGGAGGTGGAGGGGGGGGAGGGGAGCGTCGCCAACGAGTGGGGTTCCGACGATGGCCACTCCGTGGACGAAGGCGAGAAACCCCCGGCGGAGGAGGTGCCAGGCGAGGAGGAGGAGGCGGAGGAGGAGGAGGATTCCTCGCTCTCCCAGAAGCTTCTCGTCAAGGAGTTTGTTCTGATGAAGAAGGCGCAGATGCTCGCCGACATGGCGCAGGACGACCATAGGAAGAAGCACGTGCGTCGTGTGTGTGTGTCTGTGTGTACGTGTGTGTGTGAGTGTGTGCGTCGTGTGTGTGTCTGTGTGTACGTGTGTGTGTGTGTGAGTGTGTGCGTCGTGTGTGTGTCTGTGTGTACGTGTGAGTGTGTGCGTCGTGTGTGTCTGTGTGTACGTGTGTGTGTGAGTGTGTGCGTCGTGTGTGTGTCTGTGTGTACGTGTGTGTGAGTGTGAGTGTGTGTGTCTGTGTGTACGTGAGTGTGAGTGTGTGCGTGAGTGCGTGTGTGCGTGAGTGAGTGTGTACGCGTGTGAGTGTGAGTGTGTGCGTGAGTGCGTGAGTGAGTGTGTACGCGTGTGAGTGTGTGCGTGAGTGTGTGTGAGTGTGTCTGTGTGTGTGTGAGTGTGTGTGAGTGTGTGTGTGAGTGTGTGTGAGTGTGAGCGTCGTGAGTGTGTCTGTGTGTGCGTGTGTACGCGTGTGCGTGTGTACGTGAGTGTGGGCGTCGTGTGTGTGTCTGTGTGTACGTGTGTGTGAGTGTGTGCGTGAGTGCGTGAGTGTGTGAGTGTGTACGCGTGTGAGTGTGTGTACGTGCGTCGTGAGTGTGTGAGTGTGTACGTGTGTGAGTGTGTGCGTGAGTGCGTGAGTGAGTGTGTACGCGTGTGAGTGTGAGTGTGTGTACGTGCGTCGTGAGTGTGTCTGTGTATGTGTGTACGCGTGTGTGCGTGTGTGTGTGTGAGTGTGTGCGTCGTGAGTGTGTCTGTGTGTACGTGTGTGTGAGTGTGTGCCTGAGTGCGTGTGTGCATGGGGTGTGAGTGTGTGCGTAACAAGTGTGCGTGTGGGGAGTGGTGGTGCAGCGGTTAGCGCTACGCTGCACTACGAACCCGGCGACCCGAGTTCGATTCCTGCTCGCTGCCAACACCACCAGTGACGATTATCTGAACCGGTCCTGGGTCTCCCCTAGGTCGACTCGGCCTCAAATGAGTACCTGGTGCGGTGTGTAAACATCGCCACTGGGGAGACAAAGGCGGTCGGGCGTGGTCCTGGCCACCCACTCCCTCGTGTGCTGTTCTGGCCTTCATAGGGTCTACTCGCTAACAGCACTTGCCCCTTGTAGTCGGTTAAGGCTATTCGCGGGATGTGCGTGACGAGAGTGTGAGTGCGTGATGTGTGTGTGTTCGTGCATGATGTGTGTGTGTGCGTGCATGATGTGTGTGTGTTCGTGCGTGATGCGTGTGTGTGATGAGCATGTGCGTGATGTGCGAGTGAGCGCGTGCCGTGTGCGCGTGTTGGTGTGTGTGTGCGCGTGTTGGTGTGTGCGCGCTTGCGAGATGACAAACACCCCGCGTGTTCAGTTAAACTCGTTATGCGCTGCTAAACTCGTTGTGTTGACCACCGTGTGAACTGCAGCAGATGCACAGGAGCTTGATGATCTCCGGGGAGGACTATCAGGATGTGGACCACAGCAAGATGAGCATGAGGCAGCTCCTGTATTGGATTCCCAGCAACAACCCAATGCTGTGAGCACACGGACAGGAATTTGTTCATGATGTTGTTGTTTTTTTGTTTTGCCAAATTCGAAATCGCTCGATTGCCATTGCACACAGACTCAGGTGGTTTTTTACCGTGGCTACTGATGATAACCGTATGATAGTGATGTATATACCGTGTTGAATATGATGATGGACGTACGATGGCGATGTAAGTGCGATAACGATGATCATGACGATGATGATGATGATGGATGTACGATGGTTGATGGACGTACTATGATGATGACGATGGTGATGGATGTACGATGGTTGATGTACTTACAATGGTGATGAGCATACGGTGGTGATGGACTTACGATGATGATGACAATTGTTTTTTTACCCTTTTATCTGGCAACAAAACTGACACTTGTTTTACAAGGAGTCATGTTTGCATTGACCACAATACCTGCGGTCGGAATGCAAACAAAAACACTCTGATAATGTATGCACTGTCCTTGAAATTGATTGGTCCACACCCGAGACAGCTTTTCTTAGAGCCTAGTCTCACATGGTGTTGGACCAGATGACGCTAAAAGGCGCACAATAAAAAAAAGGTGTCAGTTTTGTTGCCAGATTAAAGGGTAAAACACCAATTACCATATTTTGCAACTGGCAAAGGAGGTTCCAATGGTGATGATGATGACGTTGAACGGACGTTACCAGCCTCGTGTTTCCGCTTTGCACCGCAGGTCGGCTCTGCAGGAGGAACAGGAGAAAGTCGTCGCCAAAGAGTTACGTCGCTTCCATTGATTTCGCCTCAACCGCTTTCTATTTTGGGGGGATCGAGAGGGCCAAAGCCTCCCAATACTGGAGGCTCAGCCAACTCTTGGTAAACTCTTAAACATCAGAGAGGTTTTCTGGGTTAGATCGTGTAAATATATAAATGTGTCGTTGAACCCGCCACCACCTGACAAAGCCAATTAGTGAGTTTGTCACGTAAACAGAACGTGCCCAATTAAGTTACTAGTTCAGCACTAATTCAGTCTGTTTGGGCTATACGGGGGATCTTTGTCTTTGTCTCGCTATCTGGCAGTGGGGAACGGTAGTGTAGCGGTTCTCGCGCTGCGCTATGAACCCAATGCCCCGGGTTCGATTCTCGCTCAAGGTCAAAACCAGTGACGATTATCTGAATTGGTCCTGGGCATCCCCTAGGTCGACTTGGTCTCAAATGAGTACCTGGTGTGGTGTGTAAAAATATCACCATTGGGTGATGGATACCCACCCCCCTCGTGTGCCATGCCACCCTTCATCGGTGCTCGCTAACAGCACTTGCCCCATCAGTCTGTTAAGGCTACACGGGGGATCTTTGTCTACATGGCAGTCATCTCAGGCAGTCAACCCATGGCACCTGGGTCTGTCCGGTGACTTCCTACCAGCAGCGAGCCCTTAGAAGTGTCGAGGTGATGCCGTGTTGACATCACCACGACTTGGTGGTGAATGGCGGTTGTGGTTGTTGTTGTCTGTCTGTCTGTTTGTCTGTGTCTCTGTGCCTCTATGGCACAGGCGGACAAACCACCTCGCGGACAAAGTGGTGGCGGTGCCACCGCGGCCGGAATGTCCGGCGAAGCCGGAGGTGGTGGCCAAGGCCGACGGCGTTGACGACGACGACGATGATGGTGACGATGGCGACGACGGTCTGATGGTGCCCAGGGTGCGTGTGGGTGAGGATGGCACGCTCATCCTCGACGATGAGAGGTGTGCGGCTTCTTTATCGCTCCCACGTTGACTCCCCAGCCGCCACCACCACCACCAGTAGCAGCACCACCACCACCAGTAGCACCACCATCAACGCTACCAACACCAGTAGCACCCGCCCCCCTCCACCGCCAGTATCACTGCCACCTCCATGACCACCAACACCACCACCAGTAGCACCGCGACCACCACCAACACCACCACCACCAACAACACCACCACCAGTAGCACTGTGACCACCACCAACACCACCACCAGTAGCACCGCGACCACCACCAACACCACCACCAATAGCACCACCACCAACAACACCACCACCAGTAGCACCGCTACCACCACCAACACTACCACCAGTAGCAACACCACCAACAACACCACCACCAGTAGCACCGCGACCACCACCAACACCACCACCAGTAGCAACACCACCAACAACACCACCAGTAGCAACACCACCAACAACACCACCACCAGTAGCACCGCTACCACCACCAACACTACCACCAGTAGCAACACCACCAACAACACCACCAGTAGCAACACCACCAACAACACCACCACCAGTAGCACCGCTACCACCACCAACACTACCACCAGTAGCAACACCACCAACAACACCACCACCAGTAGCACCGCTACCACCACCAACACCAATAGCAACACCACCAACAACACCACCACCAGTAGCACCGCTACCACCACCAACACCACCACCAGTAGCAACACCACCAACAACACCACCAGTAGCAACACCACCAACAACACCACCACCAGTAGCAGCACCACCACCACGTCTAAATCACCCCCCCCCCTCCCCCGAAACCTGGAAAATACATTTTTCTTGATATTTATCATATATGATCCATAGAATGAGTGTTGTTGTTATTATTATTTGTGTTAGCGCCCTATTCGAAAAGCTTCATATTTCTCAGCCAACCTCCCCCCCCCCCTTTCCCACACCTCCCTCGTCCACCTTGAGAAGTCTCTTGATCCGGCTCTGGCCTGGTGCCTCGTGAAGCCATGCCGGGGCCGGCACAGTGCCGGCACAGGCCTGGCACAGCACGGTTGTACTGCCAGTGGGAAAAATGGCATGAGTGGCGGTTATTGTTCGCCGTCGTTTTTTTGTAGTCGTTATCATTGTTGTCATTGTTGTCATTGTCGTCATTGTTTTGGTCGTTATCCTTGTCATTGTCGTCATTGTCATTGTTGTCGTTGTCATTGTTATTGTTTTGGTAGTCATCGTTGTCATTGTCGTCATCGTCATTGTTGTCATTGTTTTGGTCGTCGTTGTCATTGTCGTCATTGTCATTGTTATTGTTTTGGTCGTCATCGTTGTCATTGTCGTCATTGTCATTGTTATTGTTTTGGTCGTCATCGTTGTCATTGTCGTCATTGTCGTCATCGTCATTGTCATTGTTGTCATTGTTTTGGTCGTCATCCTTGTCATTGTCGTTGTTGTCATTGTCGTCGTTGTCATTGTCGTCGTTGTCATTGTCGTCGTTGTCATTGTCGTCGTTGTCATTGTCGTCGTTGTCATTGTCGTCGTTGTCATTGTCGTCGTTGTCATTGTCGTCGTTGTCATTGTCGTCGTTGTCATTGTCGTCGTTGTCATTGTCGTCTGTGTCATTGTCGTCGTTGTCATTGTCGTCGTTGTCATTGTCGTCGTTGTCATTGTCGTCGTTGTCATTGTCGTCGTTGTCATTGTCGTCGTTGTCATTGTCGTCGTTGTCATTGTCGTCGTTGTCATTGTCGTCGTTGTCATTGTCGTCGTTGTCATTGTCGTCGTTGTCATTGTCGTCGTTGTCATTGTTGTCGCCGCCGCTGTCGTCGTTGCCGTCGCGATTGCTGTCATTTGTTCCCGCCGCCAGCCTCACGGTGCGTGTGCGGCATGCCGGCGAGGACGACGCCAGGGTGGCGGCGGCGCTCGCCGTGGAGGCGCTGCGCGAGGACGGCTCCTCCGCCCGCTACAGCAACTTCTCCAAGCACGTCGCCACGCGGAGATGGAGCGACAAGGGTACACGCCATCAAACCCCCCACCCCCCCCCTCCGCAACCATCACCACCACCACCGCCACCACTGCCACCACCGCCGCCACCACCGCCACCGCCACCACCACTGCTACCCCCACCACCGCCGCCACCACCACCACCACCACTGCTACCGCCACCACCACCCCTACCCCCACCACCGCTACCACCACCACCGCTACCGCCACCACCGCTACCGCCACCACCGCCACCCCCACCGCTACCCCCACCGCCACCACCGCCACCACCGCCACCACCACCGCTACCGCCACCACCACCCCTACCCCCACCACCGCTACCACCAGCCACCACCGCCGCACCGGCCGTGGTCAGAGAAAAACTGTGCCCACGCCGTGACCACCCCCCCCCCCCCCCCCAAAGACGAAGATCCCCCGTGTAGCCTCTAACAGACTGTTGGGGCAAGTGCTGTTTGCGAGCTGCACCTACGAAGGCCGGCACGGCACAACGACGACGGGGTGGGTGGCCAGCACCACGGCCGACCGCCTCCCCGGCGGCGATGTTTACTGCACACCGCAAGCGGGGACTGATTATTGAGGCTGAGCCGACCTAGGGGGGGCCCAGGACCGGTTCGGATAAATCGCCCCCGGTGTTGGTGGCCGTGAGCGGGAATCGAACTCGGCTCGCCGGGTTCGTAGCGCGGTGCGCTGCCCCCCCCCCCCGCGCTGCCACCCCCCCCCCCCACCACCTCTCCCACGTCGCCGCAGAGACGGAGCTGTACTTCCTGGCCATCAGCATGGTGGGGACCGACATGTCGATGGTGTCCCACCTCTTCCCCACGCGCAGCAGGCACGAGCTCAAGGTAACGGCCGGGATTCCGGGCGTGTGTGTGTGTACACGTGTGTGTGTGCACGTGTGTGTGTGTGTGTGCACGTGTGTGTGCGCAGCGACAGACCAGGTAGCTTCCACACAACGTTACGCAACCGATGAAAATATATTGCTGCTCGACTGATTCGGAGTGAGACCTCTGCTGTTAAACTGGAGCCGGTCATAAGCACACTGCCCAGGTATGGGAAACTCTCCACTCTCTCCACAACTGCCCCATCACCGATTGGGAGTTGTGGGGGTGCAGTGTCCAATGGTACATAATACCCAGGCAGATGCTTAGTTTTGGTGGGGCTGATGGTAAGGCCCCATCTCTTAGTGGCACGCTTCAGTCTCAGCAGCAGCGTCTTTAACTCCTCCTCTGAATGAGCAGCTCTCGCTCCGCACCAAGCTTCAGGTCTTCTCGGCTACAGTCATTCCCTCCCTTCTCTACGCTTGCGAAACGTGGACACATCAATGGAGCATCTTCACTTGTTGGAAACATTTAGGCTGGCCTGCCTACGACCCATCCTGGGTTTAACCAGGCTGGAATGTGTGAGGAGCTCACAAATCCTTGAAGGATCTTGGCAAAGTCCCATCGGTGAGATCCTCCGGCAGGCAAGGCTGCGTTGGCTGGGTCATGTAGCTCGCATGCCCAGCCACCGCATGCCTAAACAGCTTTTGTTCGGCCGGATCGAGGGGGCTAAACGGGTGCGGCACGGGTTAGAGAAGCGATGGAGTGATGTGGTATAGGAGGACGTGGAGCTGAGTGGACTTGCCGATGACTGGTACCAGCGGCGTCTGTGGAGGAGGCGACACTCACATCAACGAGCGGAGCGCCGGGTGGTTAAAGCACAGCAAGTTGGTACAGTAGGGGGCACAGGTGGTGCATCAGCCAGTCATCTCGGTCATCTCGGTCAGTCGACCCGTGGCACCTGGTTCTGCCCCGTGACCTCCTGCCAGCGGGCGTTCGACACTTCACGTGGCCTCAAGGTGCACATGGCCTGGCACAAGCGTCGTGGTGACGTCACCGCCACTTAGTAGCGAATGGCGGTTGTTGTTGTGAGTGCACCTGCACCAACATCACTCTCTTACCCCTTCCCCTCTCATCTCACTCGACTCCCCTCTAGAAACCAAAGCTTTCTGTTGAACCTCCCCCAGTTGTCTGTGGCCAGCGGGAGGTCGCTCACTCTTCTCTGCTGCCTCCACAGTCTAGAACTCCCCCACCCCTCCCCAGCTGTTCCCCTCCCTGTCCGTGTTTAAGTCCAGACTTTCACATTTTTCTCCTCTTGCCTCCGACTGAACGCTTCTTTCTTTCTGCACCGCGCCCCACCCTGTAATTGTATCGTATTGCATTGTGCGTGTGTGGTTGTGTACGTGCACTTGTGTGTGCGCGTGTGCGATTGTGTACGTGTGCGCTTGTGTGTGTGTTGTGCGACCGCAGAATAAATTCAAAAGGGAGTCGCGTGTCCACCCGTGGAGGATAGACAAGGCCTGCAGTAAGTAAGAGCGTAAGTGAGGGGAGGCGCGGGGGGTGGGGGGGGCCGGTGGGGGGGGGGGCGGCCGGGGGGGATGCGGGAGGTTCGTCCGCGTCTTGCGAGCGTCGTTGCAAACTGCGAGATTCGTATCCTTCCCTGACTCCGTTGCTTCCGCTTTGCTTGTGGTGCGTTGGCTGCCCGCACGGCTTGGCGGTACGTAGGTGTCTGTGTGTTGTGAACCTCTTTCGCACCCTATGTCGCCAACCGTGCCAATAGGAGGTGCGGGAGACTACCGCCGTTCCATGGCTGTGGTCAGTATGTTATTATTGTTATGAAATTCCATAGTAAAGTCGTCATTAATGCTGCCAATGAGAATATAATTTATCTTCTTGGTTCTTTCGGTAAAATCACGTAGAAGGGAAGTAATAAAATAATCAAAATAATAAATAATAAAATAATTCTCACCGGTGAGAATTATTTTATTATGTTAAAATAATTCTCACCGGTGAGAATTATTTTATTATGTTTTATTTGTATTATTTTATTACTTCCCTTCTACGTGACTTTACCGAAAGAACCAAGAATATGAATCCCTGCAGTCACGAAAGCTTTAAATCGATAAAAGAATATAATTTTATTACCGCTTTACTGTGTTTCTACCTTGACCTTGACATACGGCGTGTGAGTGAGGTCGCCGTTTGTTCACTCCCCGCTAATGTGACCGGAGTCGCTCAGAGTTTTATCTCATGCAACCGATTGCGCGAGTCGTCCTAAACTCCGGTAGGCGGGGGGGGGAGAGATGGATGAGGTGGTCCCAGGCCTGTCCCCCTGCCACACCGGGAAGTTTGCCAGCCGTGCCAATAAACATATTTTTTATACCAGGTAAGGCCCACTGAGCTATATAGCTCTGTTTCAGAAGCGGCCTGGCCATCACCAATGATCGCTCAGTAGCAGCCAAATGTAACCTGTGAAAGGCATTTTTTGTGTGTCTGTCTGTCTGTGTGTGGCCGACACTTGCGAGGGATTTGGCTCGCGAACCGTGGGGTTGACGCTTAAAAAAAGTACCCAGGCAGCACGGCATAAGCCACGTGGTCAGCCAGCGCTTTACAGTAGTTTAATTAGCAATTTAGTGCTGTTTTAGTTTATATATCTATTACGTCGCCCCTCCGAGCGCGCCCCAAAGCACGCATCTGCGCGTGCACGCCCCTACCAAGTCACACGCGTTCGGTGGGGAGGAGGGGGCAATTCTCATCCGTGTGGACACTGCGCAAGGTAACACACGCAGATATACAGCTCCCTTCAAACATTTATTACAATGACTGTTTGCTCGTTACTATTCCTGTTGCCTCTTATTCCCCACAAACTTTGCGCTTGCCACCACTTCTTTACGTGAGGGATTGACACTTGTGCACACGTTTTCTCTTTTAGAATAGGTACCTTTATAAATATCGCTGTTCTGCTCACAAAAAAACACGTTTGAGGGGAAGAAAAGCCTATTTCTGTACTCTTGAGGCGTTAACGCCGGGTACTTCCCACTAGTACTTTATAAACGCACATTGATTCTAAATGCAGAGGGGAAAAACTGGAAGACCCGGAGAAAAATCCACGCGGCCATGGGGAGAGAGAGAGAGACGCAAACTCCAAAATATACAGCAGGCGTCAGGGTCGGGATCGAGCCTATGACCTCCTGCATATCAGGCGAGGCAGTTAACATCTCGCCACTGCGGCGTGCCCCCCCCCTGCCGTTTTGTTTCGCCCAGTGGAGAAGAAGCCGATGGACAAGGAGGGCTTTGTCAAGCTGCTGGCCGACGAGGAGGAAGAGCGGAAAAAGAAGAAAACTAAAAAAAGAAAACCCCGCAAGAGGCGTGCAAAACTGTCGGGTAAGTGTTGTTTTTTTCTCTCCTCCGCGGTTTTGGTATTCGACAACAACGTCCGACGTTTTGCTCCCGCGCCCCGCGAGAGCTGTATCGCCTCGCATCGTCTCGTTCCCCCCCCCCCCCCCCCCCGTCTCTCTCACTCGAATTGTCAATCTCATTCTCTCCGTTGGCTCACATTTCCACGTGGCCTTCCGAAAATGCCCACGCAATGATTCATGAATAATCAATGACAACAACGACAACAATAACTATACTTGCATTTAATAATAATTTTGATAATTCTAAAGTATAATGCGCGTTCCGTCCTTGTGTGAAGATTGAAACGCAACAAGCGACGTACCTGGCACAGTAGTGCGTACGCTGTGCTGCAAACACGGGCAGTCGGGAAGCAATACAAGGCCTCTGATTGGTGCCCCAGATCTGGGAGAGACTACATGGGGGTGGATGACGGAGAAAGGGGGGGCACGGGGGGGGGCACAGGGGGGGGGGGCACAGGGGGGGGGGGCACAGGGGGGGGGCACAGGGGGGGGGGCACAGTGGGGGGGGTGCGGGGCCTGGAAAAGGATTGGCTGGAGACAGAGATTTGAAATCATTGGAGGAAAGATGCAAGCGCAAAGGGCGGGGAAACGAAGGTTTGCTTCACAGGGTAAATGGTTGAAAGAGAGAAGACAAAGTTCGTGGCTGGCGAAGCGAAGCTCGTGCCTGAAGTCGGTGGTCGTGCGGCGAAATGAAGGATGTTAATAAGTATAACCCGTAAAAACAAAGTTTTTCACTATAAATCCTTTATATGCGTGGTGGCTAGAGTCCTTTTGTCCTCTGGCTTGAGATGGCTGCCACCTATGGGTCAGATGATTGCATGGCAGCATTAAGCAATTGGTAATTAAATATTGTATTTTTGTCCTAAAAAGTGTAAAATTTTGGAAACATTTTTTCACGAACATTAATTGTCACGCACAACGAGTCTGTGTGGAAAATGTCAGCTCGATTGGATCACGGGAAGTGGGTTAAAAAACGACCTAAAGATTTGCACGGTCCTAAGCAAGCAAGCAAGCAAGTGAACTTAATATAAAGGATTTAAAAACTTGACGAAACGTGTGTTGGTCGTCATTCCATCCCAGGATCCCAATGCCCGCCCAATGCACGGAGAGCCAGGAAACTAAAAGTTACAGAACCAGGGCCACCGACGAAACTAAAGAGGGGTGAGGCCAGTTTGTAGAGATGCGCTTGCTTGCTTGCAGCAGAATCTCATCTCAAACATTGAACGGGGTGCACCCCTCCAACCCCTACCCCTCCAATCGGCAGCTGTCCCTGCGCAGCAGCAGAAAGCTGACTCTCAGCTCCTGGCCTGCATGCGGAGCATCGGTCTCGCGACTCTCCTTTTAGAATGATCCGGAGTCGTTTTTTTTGCAACAGCCGGGGGGGTCGGGGGGGGGGGTGAGGGGGGCGATGACCACGATTGTGTTTTTCGTGATCGCAATTTAAGTAATCTGCAGTGTAATCTTCCGAATCCTGAAAAAAATGGGGCCAGTCACACCCGCACACACACACACACGTCGGGCTGCTCTTGCGAATGACGTGGCAGGAATTCTTTGTGTCCGCTGTGTGGTTCGTACATACCGCTGTGTGGTTCATAAACCAACACGCGAACTCCGGTCATCCTCGCAGCAGCAACAGCAGCTGCGGCTTGTGGCTAATCAAAGACGGTGGTCACCGCATCGCGCGGCGCTTTCAGACGCGCTTCTGCGGCCGTCTGGAACACTCTTCCTTCCGATATTAGGAAGCCACTTTAGCTGTGCAATTTTAAATCATCATCTAGATCGACAAACTAATTTCTTCAAGAACTGCTTGTTGTGTTTTAGTTTGTTGTCCTTGCCCCGCATCCTCCGATTAGCACGGTTGGCTACGCACGATGCGAAAGAAGTTCAACGTACATACAGGTGTAGTGGCATAGCGCCGGCTGCTGGCAAAAAGTGGAATCTGCGGCGTATGGCAGTACTGACGTCAGCAGGCCACGATAGACACGAGCGGGGGACATCTTGGGGAAAGGTCACAGAAGGGGCCCATCGGGAAGCCCCAGGAACCAGAGGTCGCAAACCGGTTTTGATTCCTTACCCGTACCCGTACCCGGCCGCACCAGGGTTGCAAACGGATACCCTACCCGAGACCCGGCCAGGGTATCGGGTAGGGTACGGGTACGGGTACCCGATTGCGACCTCTGGGATGAAGCCATGTTGCAGGCGTGGGTGGGTTGATTATAGGAACTTGAATTGTGAGAAGAGACAAGACGTTGGGAAATGAGTGACAAACGGTTACTCACCAGTGACTCACGGCCTACCCATACCCGTACCCGTACCCGGTGGCACCAGGGTCGCAAACGGGTACCCACACCCGGCCGGGTATGGGTAGCCGGGTATTGGGTAGGGTACGGATATCGGGTACCCGATTGCGACCTCTGCCGGAAACCCGCTGGTAGGTTCCGGAAAGGGGGCGTGGCCGGGGGCGGAGCGAGGCCGCGCTGGGAGTATAAGAGGGATCCCTGTGGGGGACCACGGGGCTGTTGTTGGATGTGGGATCCCCGTCGTACTACTCAAGATCGTCATCGTCACCATCTCGTCGTCGTCTTCACTATCCCGGGGCGCCGCTAGTCAGACGGCCTACCAACTGTCCTGACTAAGTAGTGCCGCCGACAATAGACGGTCTTCATTATAATAGTGTGCACCCACGCAGGGAGTGTGTTATCCCAAAGGTGCTTGCTAAATAAAGAAGTGCCTCCGAGTCTTATTGTCTCCGAGTTGAGTCACTACACATACAACACACCCCCAGTGACGTAACAGCTCCCCTCTCGCCACCGACGCTCGTGCCCCAGATGACGACGAGGAGGAGGAGGAGGGTGGTTTGAGCGGCGTCGACCACGACGGCGACAACGGCGGCGAGGACCCAGCGTGCGACGAGGGCGGCGGGAAAAAGACGAAGCGGGAGAGGCGGAGAGGCGCGAGGGAGGCAACGGCGGCGGCGGCGGCGGCGGAAGTTGGCAGCGCCGCTCCGTCCGGAACGCCGGCGGCGAAGAGGAAGAGGAGGAGGAAGACGAGCAAACGGAAAGATGGAGACGTCTCTGGACAGGCGGCGAGCGGCGATGGCGTGGATCAGCCGCTTGCTCCGGAGGGCGGCTCGGTCGGCGCGGGGGGTGGTGATGACGACGCTGCCTCCTCGGAAACGGTTCCTGGAAGGTGAGCGACACGTGACCCCCACCCCCCACCTCCCACCCCGACCACCCCGAAAGACAAAGATCCCCCGTATAGCCTTTGACAGACTGTTGGGGCAAGTGCTGTTGGCGAGTTGCACCTATGAAGGCCGGCACGGCACAAGGTGGGGTGAGTAGCCAACACCACACCCAGTGGTGATGTATACGCACACCACAGCAGGGTACTCATTTGAGGCTGAGTCGACCTAGGGGAGGCCCAGGGCCGGTTCAGACAGTCGTCACTGGTGTTGGCCGCGAGTGGGAATCGAACTCGGGTCGCCAGGTTTCGTAGCACGCACACATGCGAGAAGGGCGATGAGCGTCGTGCGTGCTGTTGCTGCTGCTGCTGGTGCTGGTGCTGCTGCTGGTGCTGTTGCTGCTGGTGCTGCTGTTATTGCTGGTACTGTGACAGGGCCCTTGCACCCTTGCGGCCATTGCAGCCGGAGGGGGTGAATCATTTGCACCGTTCCATCGCGCCGGTGGATTTTTGCGCCTAGGGGCTGCGAGGTTCGTGCGGGGGTCGCCGAGAAGAAGACGAGGAAGAGGCGGCGGAGACGGAACGACGAGGAGAAGGAGGCGGAGCAGAAGGAGACGGAAGAAGCGCCGGACGGGAAGGCGGCGCAGGGTAAGGAGTCGCGGAGCGCCGCGGTGGCACCGCGTAGGGTTGGCATGGGCCGTGGCTCGAGGCCTGGACTCCAGCCCCCTCGCGGTCCAATTTCCCCACTCCAGTCCTCCTGAAGACGCGCCCAATACACACCGTGCATGGTACGCACCGTGGTGCCGAGATGTTAACTACCTCCCCTGGTACACAGGAGGTCGTGGGTTCGATCCCAACCCAGACGCCTGCTGTATATTTTTGCGGTGTCTCTCTCCCCCCGGTCCCGTGGATTTTTCTCCACATTTAGAATTGACGTCACACGTTTAGAGTATTTTGCTGGTGCTATGAATTTCCACGTGATGATGATAAGCTCACTAAATTGAGCTATCATTTGTGATAGCCAGGTCGCTTCTAATAAAGAGCTACCTAGCCCAGTGGGGCCTTACCACGGAGAGAGAGAGACACGCAAACTCCAAATATACAGCAGGCATCTGGGTTGGGATCGAACCCACGTGCCTCATGTACACCAGGCGAGGTAGTTAACATCTCATAGCCACTGTGGCACCCCACACCTCTCTCTCTCTCTTGCTCACGTTCTCTGGGACCCAGAGAAAAATCCACGCGACCACGAGGAAAGAGAGAGAGAGACACCACAAACTCGATGGGTGGATCAAAACCCTTGCTTGTCCAAGCTCTGCGGTCCTACGCATTGGGATGCTTGGCCAGCTCCATCGGTGACTGATTTGAACGCTCCGTGGGAGGAAACCGGAGAATCCCGTAGAAAATCTCACACGAGCCGGGGTGGGGGGGTGATGATACTCCACCCCCGTATGGATGGAAACTGATGACGATTAGTCCAATTCCACTGGCTGTGCTGCCATGATACCCTGATGACGCCTAGAGGAAAGGGGAGAGGAAGCTTCACGAATTCGTGCAATCCACCAGCCCTTGCTACAGTGCCGTATATTCTGAACTTCTTACGCACCGTACATGGCCAACCGTTATAATTGGAGGTGCGGTGTATCTATGCGTGTACGTTGAGCTTCTTTCGCACCATACGAAGCCACCCATGCGATTCGTAGCTGCGGGTGTGTACCGTATGTTGAACTTCTTTCACACCATACGAAGCCGACCGTGCTAACGGGAGGTGCGGGGTTTTCACGCGAGCGTTGCAGGATTACGGCTCTACGCCCGGGTCAGATGCAGTTGCACGGCTTGCACGCCCGACCGACGGCTACGCGAGTAGCCCAGCGACAGCGGCAGCCGCGTCTCTTCTTAGCGTCTAGGGAGGCTCCCAATTGGCACATCGCTTGAAACGACGTCGGCGAACCCGCGTCGTCGCAAACCCACGTGGTTGGTTCACTTTGTCCTTTTTACTTTTCCTAGAAAAGAAAAAAGTCAGGAAATCGAAGAAGATAAAAGTCAAAAACGATCACGGCGACCGTGATGGAGACGGCCAGGAGGAGCCTGCCCCGGACTTCACTTGGTACGAGAAAGAGAATGGGTGCGTACCACACACCATGCATGCTGGGCACTTCCTAGCAGTCCAGATTGTAAGACGCACCAAATCAAGTTATACAGACTCGCACAGAGACCCACAGACTCGCACAGAGACACACATAGACCCACACAGAGACCCACAGACTCGCACAGAGACCCACAGACTCATACAGAGACACACATAGACCCACACAGAGACCCACAGACTCGCACAGAGACCCACAGACTCGCACAAAGACCCACAGACTCGCACAGAGACCCACAGACTCGCACAGAGACACACATAGACCCACACAGAGAACCACAGACTTGCACAGAGACCCACAGACTCGCACAAAGACCCACAGACTCGCACAGAGACCCACAGACTCATACAGAGACACACATAGACTCACAAAGACCCACAGACTCGCACAGAGACCCACAGACTCACACAGAGACCCACAGACACGCACAGAGACCCACAGACTCACACAGAAACCCACAGCCTTGCCGCTTCCCTCCGACGTTGACTAATTTGTGGCACCCACCTGGAGCAGAGACCCTGGAGCAGCGGAGGAACAGCCGAGCACGGATCCAGGAGCTGAGGTGGCAGAACCCCTGTCTGTGGGGACCGCGGTCGGGCCGAGGAGGGGTGGACGGGGAGCCCGGGGTGGGAGGGGAAGCCGAGGGAGAGGAGGGAGAGGAGGGAGAGGAGGGAGAGGAGGGAGAGGAGGGAGAGGAGGGAGAGGAGGAGGGAAGGGGAAGGATGTGGCGAGAATTGTGATGGATGCAGTACCCAGGGAGAGCTGCTCAACCCCAGGTGAATTTGGTGGTAGCCATCTTGTTTTGTGTAGATCGTCAAGGATGTTCAACATCTTATGAACTCCATAAGAGTTTTTTTTGGGTTAGATCGCGTAAATATATAAAAGTGTCGTTAAACCCGCCACCAACCCGACACAGCAAATTAGTAAGGTTTGTAACGAAAACGGAACGTGCCAATTCGTTACTATGATATTGCTCGCGAAAGCCTACGTGTAAATCTTGTAAACTACGAAATTTTAAAATGTATTTTACCAGGTAAGGCCCCGTGGAAATTTATAGGAGCCAAATAGTCTATAAACACGTGACGTCGATTCTAATCGTGGAGGGACAAACTGGAGAACCTGGAGAAAAATCCACGCGACCACGGGGAGAGAGATACGCAAATATATAAGCTTCAGGGTCGGGATCGAAACTGCGACCTTCTGCATACCAGGCGAGGTAGTTAACATTTCACCACCGCATCGCGACCCGTGAAACCACGATTATAACTCATCATGTCTAATGTCTGTACCATCGGAGGACACCCATGAAATAATAATCTAAAAAGATAAACTCATCATTAGTCATGATTGATCCACTGCTGGATGGAGGAATCCCCAAGCCAACGCCACCGCCACCTCTCACGGCAATCCACCCACCATGAGCCGATTCCATCGCTGCAACCCCCTCGACATCATCCCATCAAATCTCGAGGGGTGGCGGCCACTCTGTGGTGAATCCTGACCGTCGGCCCTTCTTGGCGACCCCGTGACCTTCTCTCCATGCTCGTCTTTATTTTCCTCCGTTCCTGGAAAAAAAATCTCCCGGCAAGTGGAACGAAACATTTGGCACATCGCGCCGTCGCGTTTTGTAACCGTCGCTTGGCGCGTCCCTCTTGATGGGATGCACGCATCACACGCACATCACACGCGCATCACACATGCATCACACGCGCATCACACGCACATCACACGCACATCACACGCACACGCGACTTTGTTCAACTATTCACAGATGCGGCAGCGGCGGCTGGCGACGACCACGACACCGAAGCGGAGGTTCTGCTGGGAGAGCGCCGAGGCGGTGAGCGCGACGGGGCGGACACACGAATCGCGGGAACTTCGCCCGCCGGTTCATCCACCGGGGATGCCGGGCGGGGCGCCGGCGGTAGCCCCCGAGGCGACGGTCCCGTCGCCGGCGATTCGGAGCACGTCCGCCCGGGAGGAGGACGCGGGGAACCCTGGGAGAACCGGTCACCGTCACCGGTGCGGGTACGTCCGTGTGTACGTTGAACCTCTTTCGCACCGCACGTAGCCAACCGCACTAACCGGAGGCATGGGGTTTGCAGGCGAGCGTTGCAGAAGCCCGAGGCGACAGAACTCCCGTGGAGAGCACCGCCCACGGGCCGCGGATTCCTCCTGAGGCACCCGCCGACGCTCCGGTCTTGGCAGTGAGCGGCGGTGGCGTCGCCGATGCATCGGCGCGGCTGCGGAGGCCGCAGAGGAGGCTGAAGCCAAGCATCGGGCTGTCATCGCGTCGCGCGGCCATTCGATGCAGGGGGCGTACGGGAGGAGGATCGCCAGCGGCTGACGACGGTGGAGCGGGGGCCGCGTCCGTTGGGTCCGCACAGTCGGAGGCTGGCGAGGAGGAGGACAAGCCGGGGAAGGAGGAAGGGGAGAAGGAGGAGGAGGGGAAGCGCCCTACAAACGCACGCACGCCTGAGAAGGACGTCGCCGCTCGCCAGATCTCCGTGGCGGCGCTAGCAGAATTGGCGGAGGGTTCGAGCGCCACCGGCTCCGCTGCGACGGTCGTGGAAGCGAATCGGCGGGAGGCGGGGAGAAGCGACGTTGCTCGCGGAGCCGTCGAGGCCGGAGACGAAGGCCGCGGCTCCCAAAATGTCTGCGGCGACGGTGGCGACGACGAAGGGACAACCGCAAAACACGAAACGCGACGGCACGAAGCGCAGGGGGACATCGCAGATTCGCAGGCGGTCGGCGAGTCTGACGATGCCTGTAGCTCAAGGCCCGGCCTGCAGGCCACCGCTGAGGCTTCTGAAGACTTTGTCCAAGGCCGCATGGGGGCAGCCTCAGGCAGCGCGGAGACGGACGCCGTCCCGATGCTCACGGCGGAAGCGGGAGGGAAGGGCGGCGGTCGCTCGCGTCTGCAGAAACCCCGGCCGAACATCACGGGGTGTAGGGCAATCGGCGCGAGAGGTCGAGGGTCGCGCCAACGGATGCCCGCCGCTGTGGGGCGGCGTCGAGGTGGCCACGCGGCGGGCATCGATGACGATCCGGGGGCCCCGGGGTCGTCGTCGGACGATCGTCGCGACGAGCCGGCCGACGGCGCCTCGCTCCGCGGCGAGATGACGGCGCCCGTCAGATTGTCCGGCGCCGGCGTCGATGCCGCCGGATCGGTCGTTGGGCGGGAGAGCTTCAGTGTTGCGGAAGCGCGGCGATCGGGAGGCTCGCTTGAATTTGCCACAAATGGTGGTGAGGTTCGTGATGTCTCAGGGAGTGCCGAACGAGAACAACAAGGAGAACAACAACAAGGAGAACAACAAGAAGGAGAACAACGAGGAGAACAACAACGAGGAGAACAACAACGAGGAGAACAACGAGGAGAACAACAACAAGAACAACAACAACAAGGAGAACAACAAGGAGAACAACAACAAGTAGAACAACAACAAGGAGAACAACAAGGAGAACAACAACAAGTAGAACAACAAGGAGAACAACAACAAGGAGAACAACAAGAAGGAGAACAACAACAAGTAGAACAACAAGGAGAACAACAACAAAGAGAACAACAACAAGGAGAACAACAACAAGTAGAACAACAACAAGTAGAACAACAGCAAGGAGAACAACAGCAAGGAGAACAACAACAAGGAGAACAACAACGAGAAGAACAACAAGGAGAACAACAACAAGGAGAACAACAACAAGGAGAACAACAACAAGGAGAACAACAACAAAGAGAACAACAGCAAGTAGAACAACAACAAGGAGAACAACAACAAAGAGAACAACAACAAGGAGAACAACAACAAGTAGAACAACAACGAGGAGAACAACAACAAAGAGAACAACAACGAGGAGAACAACAGCAAGTAGAACAACAACAAAGAGAACAACAACAAGTAGAACAACAACGAGGAGAACAACAACAAAGAGAACAACAACAAGTAGAACAACAACGAGGAGAACAACAACAAGTAGAACAACAACGAGGAGAACAACAACAAGTAGAACAACAACAAGAAGAACAACAAGTAGAACAACAACAACAACGAGGAGCACAACAAGGACAACAACAACAACGAGAACAACAACAAAGACAACAACAAGGAGAACAACGACATGACCGTGATGTCGAGACGGTGAACTCGCCCGAGCCGTGCCACTCGCCTCTCACCTCGGGGGAGCCCGCAAGCCGTGGCCACCGGCGGCAAGCCGCCACGGGATGGGAAATGCCGGGGAGCGCCGCGACGCCCGGACGCGACGAGCTCGGCATCCCGGACCCGCCCGTTGCGGTAACGATTGCGGGAGCGTGGGTGGCGGAAGCCGCCCACGCCGACGCCTGCGGACGGCGAAGTGTCGGCGATCTTGACGTCGCCGTGGCGACGGAGCAGGGCGGAGACGCGTCCCGAACGAGCGGCCGCATGCCGAGCGACGTCGCGGGGTACGCCGCGGGCGAAGCCCAGCGGTCGAGATCGCTGAGGCCCAAGCCGAACATCGGAGCGGCCGGGAGCGTGGCGACTCGCGCGGACCGACGGCTTCTACGGGAGGCCGCGGACCGCGGGGTGATCGTGGTGCAACGTCTCCGGGCTTCGTCGCGCGACGCTGGGGCCGTGGGAGCGGGCGGCCAAAAGGAGCGGCCGGAGGGGGCGGCGGTGGCCGCCCCCGCGGCGACGGCGGCTGGCGCGTGGGTCGTTGCCGCTGCCGAGGTCTTGCCGGGCGCTTCGGAGGACGCCGGACGGAAGGCCGCGGCGGTCGGGCGCTCGGAAGCCGAGCCGGAACGCGCGGGAGATTGTCGGCGCGAGGAGGCGAGCGCCGTCGCTCCGGAACGAAGCGCCGGCGGTGGAGGCGACGGGACGTCGAGCAGCACCGGTCGCCGGGAGGCCCCGGCAGAGGCCGCGGGCGGGGCGGCGCGGTCGCGACCGAACGCCAGAGCGGCGCACGGACGGGCCGCCCGAAACCTGGCGAACCCCACGGAGACGGGGCAGGACGAAGCACCGTGGCGGTGCGATGTCGCCGCTTGGGAACGAGGTGAAGGCGACAGCGACGACGGTGCGACGGCCGACGTCGGCCGTCGGGAGGCGCCGGCGCCTGCCGAGGAGGCTCCGGCGTTCTTCACGCTCACGCTGCTCGAAATACCGCGGTCCATATACACGACGGGCGCGCCGCGTCGTGCCGGCGCCGGCGTGGGCGAGGCGGCAGGGGGGGCAGCGACAGCACCGGCGGGTAGAGGGGCCGATGCCGAACGCGAGGAGGAGGACGATGCAGCGGTGATTGGAGGCGGAGAGGCGGCGTCGGGGTTGGAGGCCGGGGTGCCGCGCTGCGCCGGCGACCCGAGTGAGTGTCGACCAGAGCCGCGGCAGCGCCCACGTGGGCTCACGACCGCGACGTGTGCCGCATTCACACCGCCGATTGGCACGGTCGGACATGTACGGTGTGAACGAAATTTCTACAAGCGTACGTACATGTCCTTGCCTGGAGGACGCGCGTAGCCTTATCACTCTACAGAACAGGGCGAGAACATACAAAGTCCACGCACTCACTCCGCATAAAAGTGGGAGAGCATACAAACGGCAAGGCCACCCAACCCATATTGTTCTTGATGTTAGGCACGAGTGTTACACGTGCACCGTCCTGCCACCCTCTTCCACACGCACAGTTATGTGGCGATATTGTGCGACGTGCAGGGCATGCTGGGAGGACCGAGCCGATGTTCACAGTGGCGCTTTTTTCTCTCTTTAACCCTTTGACCCCCAGCAGAGCAGGGGGCAACCCCGTGGGACTCCACGGCTCCTCCTCCTCTTACCTCGTCACCAAGGCCGGGCCGTGCAAGGTGCAGCAGCGACGATGCACGAGAGGAGGAGGAAGAGCAGGGAGAGCGTGGAGCCCAGTGCGGCTCCACGGAGAAGCGAGCACCCCGACTCGACCGTGAAGCCAACCCCGATGACTCTCGCACCCGACGAGGAGGGACGACTGTTGCGGCGGCGGCGGTGGTGTTGGATGAGGAGGTGGACGAGGTGGAGGAGGTGGAGGAGGTGAAGGAAGTGAAGGAGGTGGTAGAGGTGCAGGAGGTGGTGGAGGTCGTGGAGGTGGAGGTGAAGGAGGTGAAGGAGGTGGAGGAGGAGGAGGTGAAGCAGGTGAAGCAGGTTGAGGAGGAGGTAGAGGTGAAGCAGGTGGAGGAGGTGAAGCAGCTGGAGGAAGAGGTGGAGGAGGTGGAGGCTGTAGCCGGGAGAAAGTCGACGCCACGCGGCGGCAAGCGCGACCGAGATGCCGCAGGACGTCCCCGGATCGGCCCCGAGGAAACCGCTGCCAGGATGCCACCACCACCGCGGCCGCCACCACCACCGCGGCCGCCACCATCACCGCGGCCGCCACCACCACCGCGGCCACCACAGGGGGCCCTCGGGAAGAGGACGATGGCTCTGAAGAGAGGTGGCGGCGAGCCTGAGGAGGATGAGGAGGAGGCTGGGGGGGGCAGAGTCCCCGACGCGCCGGTGAAACGTCTGCGCCGCGGCCCGGGACGGCGATGCCGGGATGAGGGAGTTCCCGCCCGGCGCGGGGAAGCCGAGACCGGCGCCGGCAAGCGTGACCCCGCGGCGGCGGCGCCCGTCGCGTCCGGGCGAGAGCGGAAGAGGAGGAGCGCCGGCAGGCGAGCCGAGGGAGGGGAAGTGGAGCGGGCGAAGGGATGGCGCCGCGTGCGCCTCGGCAACTCGGCGGAGGAGACTTCACCGAGGGGCGGGAGGGCGGAAGAGGAGGACGAGGTGGAGTGTCCGTTGGTAAGCGGCGACGACGGCCACGGCGGCGACGATGGGACGGCGGACGGAGAACACGTGGCCGGAACTCCTGCCGCCGCCTCACCCGAAGCTCAGGTACTCGCGCGAGCGTTTACCCCGGAGGCCGCGGCCGTGAGGGCCATGCGACAATGACCGTGGAAACTCACACATGTGCTCACACGCGCGCTCACACGCGCGCTCACACACGCGCTCACACACGCGCACCGCTGCTTTGTTTACCGTACGCCACCGGTTGGCAGGGTCGGCTACGTACGTTGCGAAAGAAGTTCAACATACCTACATATGTACGAACGTGTCGCACAAGCCCTTGTCGTTATTTTTGTCTCTCGCTCGACCTTTGCCCCCCCGCCCCGCCCCTGTCAATCAGACCTCGCGGTACAGGCCTGGGGTGCGGTCTCCCTCCAGCCCCCTGGCGCAGGGGATCGGAGCCCCCCGATTGGGGGCCTCGGGGATCGCCGGCGCCGCCAGCCCCTCCATGTCTTCCGACACCGACCCCGATGCTCTGACGACTTTCACAATCGAGGACATCTTCATGGAAGTCCAGTGACGTCCACCTGCAGAGCCGAGCGATGCGGGCTTCGCGCTCTGCATCATCATCAGCATCGTCGTCATCGTTCATCCACGGTCAATCAGCTGCTGGGTGAAGGCCACCCCAAGTGCCGCCACCGCCTCTCGCGATCCCGCGATGCGACGCGCGACGTAGCCACTCGCACGTGGGCTGATGTCATTGCCCTGTAGCTTCAATCTCTTCATCATCACCGTCATCATCGTCAGTATCGTCATCATCGTCATCATCGTCATCATCGCCACCTTCAGGTTAATATTTACATAGCGCAATACGTCTCACCTCGCTCTTGTGGGTGTCCAAGCCGCCACTTTGTTTCCCCGCCGTATTTATCTCATTTGTTTGTTTATTTATTAAGTATTTATTAAGAAATCGGCCTTTCAGATGGTGAAATCATCCGATCCGATGTTGGCTCTGGAATTGCGGTCCAAAGGGTGGGTCCACGACTTCACTTTGCGCCGTGAAATTGTGGGAATGTGATAACTCCGTTTTGGTGAGTTGTCACGTGTTGTGTTGTACGTTGAATTTCTTTCGCAAGGACGAACAAACAAAACGCAGAAAGTAGAGTTCACAACTCGAAACGTTGATCTTTTTTTTTCTTGCCATCGCGGTTCCTCAGGGTAGCGTCTGCAGTGATGTGTTCCGGACCGATGTTTTGAATATTGGGGCTATTAATCGTTATGGACCTCGACAATTTCCAAAATCATCGGGATTCGCCCTCAATCTTGACACACCCCCTCAGTGAAGATGTCAGAAGCTAAGCAGGGCCACGTGGATTCTACACCAGGCCCTCCGGTTTCCCCCTCCACGTTTAGAATCAGCATCACACGTTTATAGTGTTTGGCTGCTATTCATGTCCACGTGGTGATGATGATGATGATCCACTCCATTGAGCCATCGTTTGTGGGTTTTTTTTTTGTGATAGGTCGCTTCTGAGAAAGAGCTACATAGCTCAGTGGGGCCTTACCTGATCAAATAAAATGAATCAAATCAAACTATAGAGTCGTTTTCTCTTTTCAAGAGCGAGCGAATACCATGTGCGGCGGCGTATTTCAAGTTTAAATTCTAATTGTCATTATTATATCATCTGTTAAACTCCGTAGCATTTCTGATGAGACCCAGAAGGTGAAAACCTGTCCAGAAGTGTGCCTGCCAAACAAATGCTGCTGCTGCTGCTGAATAACATTGGTCTAGGAAACCAAAATGCCGGTGGACTTCAAATATTCTTGTTTTATTTACACCTGGCGAGACGAGATAACGCAACGCAGGTCAGACGACGACGCCCTTGGCGCGTTCAGGAAAGTCGGCGCCGTGGGCTCGGGGCAGGACGGGGGCGCTGGCCGATTGCTGGAAGGGGACGATGCCCTGCGGTCAAGATTTGACAGCGGAGCGACGGCCAAGGAGCGGAGCGACGCGCGACGAGGGAGTCGCCCGTTCGTCCGGGGAGACGGAGCGACGAAATCGGCTCGTCTGCACGTGCTGGGGGCAGCCGTGGTCCCACAGCGGATGATTAGCACGTGGTGCTACGCTCGCTGTCGCGCAGGACCGCGTCGGAGTCTTAAATGGCTCACTCTCGGGGTGGGGGGGGGGGGCTCCCACGGGTTTTTTTTTTATTTTGCAGGAGCTTGCCGATGTTTTTCGACCCCCGTGCGTGATCTCGCTTGGCTGCAGTTGCGGGTGACGTTTCAGCAATTGTGGGATGTTTGGCCAAGTGCCGCTGACATTTTGTGTAGACTTTTGTTTTTTTACGTAACATTATCTACGGGGAAGAAAGTGGAGAACGCAGGAGGGGGAATCTCTGCAAGAGGCGTCCGAGTCTGGTGTTGAACCCTGGGCTCTCTTGCTGCGAGGTACGAGTTTTACCACTGCCCCCTCCCCACCACACCAGTGACGTGCGGTGAGGTCAATGGCTGGGGAGGCACTGGCTCGTGTCAGAGCCAGATTCACACACTGAGGGGGTGTGTCTTCACTGAGGGGGTGTGTCTTCACTGAGGGGGCGTGTCATCACTGAGGGGGGCGTGGTCTCGCCGAGGGGGCGTGTCATCACTGAGGGGGCGTGTCTTCACTGAGGGGGCGTGTCATCACTGAGGGGGCGTGTCATCACTGAGGGGGGCGTGGTCTCGCCGAGGGGGCGTGTCATCACTGAGGGGGCGTGTCATCACTGAGGGGGGCGTGTCCTCACTGAGGGGGCGTGTCCTCACTGAGGGGGCGTGTCATCACTGAGGGGGGCGTGGTCTCGCCGAGGGGGCGTGTCCTCACTTAGGGGGCGTGGTCTCCCTGAGGGGGCGTGGCCTCACTGAGGGGCGTGTCCTCGCTGAGGGGGGCGTGTTAGAGACGTCCCCCTCAGTGAGGCAGATGTGATCGCTGCCTCCCCTAGTGATTTTTTATTTCAGTTTCATGAGACCAGCGAGCCTAAATATCTTTATACACATACGTGAATTAAGTTACCTGGAGTATGGAACGCGAGGACATGTAATTAAGAGCTCTACAAACATTACATTGGTGACATACTGAGATAGTAACAGGCACGCGCTTATTGCCCGCTCTCCATCCAGTTACTGAGGGGTTGCGCAATCAGAGGGGAGGCTGAGCTCGTCGCTGCCTCACCTCTCGTCTCTTCCTGTATTTGCAGCGGAGCTCCGCAAATTTGGCGATTTTGACTAAAAAAATGATTGGAATCGTACAGAAATAACATTTATTACACAGATCAGTGGAAAAATCACAATTTTCAGTTTCTAATGTTTTACTTATCGTAACAGCTATTTTCATTGAAGTATGACAGATGAGGCTGTGCCTCCCCTGCCTCCCCTGACCGCACGTCCCTGCACCACACACACAATGGCCGACTCTCTCCTTCGAGTGACATCGCGGATCTTTAACGTCCACCGTGATGCAGGCGGCGTGTATAATTACTATATGGTTGATACACCCGCAGTATTAACCAGGGCGTCTGTAACAAGCCTGGCTTTAACCGTGAGGTCACCGGGGTCAGAGCCAGTGCCTTAATCGGCCAATGACGGTAGCCGATTGTGACGACGTCGACGACGTTGATGTCACGTGGTGGTGGATGAACGTTTATTTACTCTAACGAACGTGTGGAACCTGTTAAGAAAGTTTGCGATTTCGCCACCGTCCCACTCTCTTGGGAAGTTTCTAGATTTGCTCCGCGGGTGACGCGGAGGGACCAACTCCTGTGCCTGGTTACGAAACGTTGCGGTGAAAACCCGGTCGGCCGCGGGGAGCCGTGCTCGTACTCGGTCCGGCCTGGTGTGATCTGGTCTGGTCCGGTCCGGCCTAGTTCAATCCAGCCCGATCCGGCCCGATCCGGCCTGGTCTGGTCCGATCCGGTCCACTCAGGTCCACTTAGGTCCGGTCCGGCCTGGTCCCGTCCGGCCCGATCCGGTCCGGTCTGGTCCGGGAGGGGGGCCAGAGAGTTCCTCGGTTAGCCGGAGATTTTGTTGCGGCCAAAAAGCTTTTGCCCCCTTTTACGGTAGTGAGATGCAGCAACAGGACACCACCACCGCCACCGCCGTGTGCCGTGTCTCGCCGAGTGAGCGAGGAGCGAGCGATCGGGCTACTCGGCTTTGTCGTCGTTGTTAATGCGCACGGAACGTCGTGGCGACGTCTTCATTAGGCCCGTGGCTATTTTTTTAGCTCGCTCGGTCGTCGCGACGTTTGTTTTCAAGATCGTCGACGGACGCTCGTTTCTTTTTTTATTTAGTGCGTTATTCTGTTCGTCGGGTTATTTATTGATTCATTTGTTCGTTATTTTGACGAGTCCGTTTTCTTCATCACGTTATTTGTTTACCCCCCACCCTCCCTCCAATTGCATGACGACCGGTGCTTGCGCCAAGTTCGGCCGTACACATTTAATAAACATCCCTCACTTTTCCCCTTGGCGTTTGTGCCACGACGATGATGATGATGACGTAATGATGCATTCGACGACGTATCGGCTGCCCGTCCACCACCACCACCACGCGTTCGTGAGGTTCATCTGGGATGGTGGGGGGTGAAGGTGAAGGCGCAGCCCCGCAATTGCCCGCTCACCTCCGCTGCTGGTGGAAGAACCTCCCGCCCCCCACTTCAACCCCCGCCCCGTAGAGGATACTATCTTGGCCTACTCTTCCACAACGGAGGTCCGGACGTCTCTGTTGTAGAGGAGAGACACTTACCAACGCCTTACCCCCCCCCCCCCGGCCGCAACCGCACACTCCGAGATCTACCGCTCGACTCGCCGCCGTGGTGACATCACGCGCGTGGTGACACGTGGTGACACGTGGTGACACCACGCGCGTGGTGACACCACGCGCGTTCTGTGTCCACCGCAGCGTGGACGGAGGTTTGGGTTGGGTGCCGGGTGGGTGTGGGGGGGCGGGGGGGAAGGGGGGCATTCTTGATGAGTTCGTTTCAGCTGCATGTGAGGGCGCGGGGGGCGGAGGGGGGGCAGGGGGCGTGGGGGGGTGCAGTCGAATTGGGCCCGACCGTTGAATCGCGAGGTGCCCGGTGCGCTTCGAAGCCACGTGACGCCCAAACGGGGCAGCACCCAAAGCCACTGGCCTCAACAGCCAATCCGCAACAATCAAACAATAGTTGTAACACCTCCTCGTCGTAGTGGTGGGAGGCGGAGGCTTTTGTCACCAAGATTATCCATCATCGAGGGGGGTGTTTTTTGGGGGGGGGAGGTGGATGTTTAGATCGCGTAAATATAAATGTGTCGTTCAACCTGCCACCACCCGACACGGCCAATTAGTAAGGTTTGTCGCGCCTGGTTACGAAACGTTGCGGTGAAAACCCAAAACATTCCAATCAGTAACTAATTGGCAATGCTAACTAATTGCCATGCTAATTAGTTACTAATTTAGTTACTAATAATTGGCACGTTTTGTTCACGTGACAAACCCTTAGTAATTGGCTGTGTCGGGTGGCGGCGGGCTTAACGACACATTAATCTTCACGTGATCCAACCCAACAAATAAACTCCTATTGTAAACAATAATAATAATGATGATCACCACAATCCATGGATGTGCGCGCCCTCCCGCGTTGTGCGTCCGTGCGCAAAATACTCAATAAATAAAGAGCGGCCTCCGCTAATGAACCAAGAAGCGGCGCTCTTATTTAACAAGATCTCCTGCCGCGCAAATCGATAAATTACCATGTGCACCCCCTCCCCCTGCCCCCCCAGAATAGCCGAGCTAAACACGGGGGGGGGGAGAGTGCAGTACCGGATTATCCGATTCTTAGGTGTTTTCGGTAAAGTCACGTAGGTAAAACATTAAAATTAATAAAAGTAAAATAAAATAAAAATCACGACGTTTCGGAGGCAACACAAGTCTCCGTCATCAGAAACGTCGTGATTTTTATTTTATTTTACTTTTATTAATTTTAATGTTTTACCTACGTGACTTTACCGAAAACACCTAAGAATATGAATCCTTGCAGTCACGAAAGCTTCAAATCTAGAACGGTTTATCCTAGTCGCAAAAGTAGCTACATATGCTATGACTACGGGCCCCGCACCTTCAAGGGCCCCGCGCTAAATACTTTCAAACTATCAATTCCGGTTTCAGTGATTCTGCACTTGCGCTATTGCTATAGTACTATACCATCTTAAACTTTTATGAATGACTGTTTAAGGTTAGGGATTTGTCGTATTATTTGGATGTATAGCAAATGAAAAAATACAATTACTTTACTATGCAAGTAAAAAATGTGTGTTTTAATGTGTCTTTTTTAATTTAGGTCCCCTTTATAAAATACTAGCGGGAAGTACCCGGCATTGCCAGGGGGGGAAATATATTTCAAAACTTCTCTTAAAAACATAACATATACATGCACAAATACTAAG